CAAGAGAATAGCATAATAGGGTGAGACGTTCTTTTTCGTGATAATAACCTTACTTACAAAAAAATCTTTTGCTGACAATTATGGTTAGAAATAATCACGTGTATTGATTAAATAACGCCGTCAAATATACGAAAAACTAAAAGAAACAAGACTATATGTCATAGACAATTGGTAATCAATATTTTTAACGCATTTCTATTGATAAATGTTTAGAGTTATTGAAAGTTTTTTAATGTAGCCCATTTATGGTACGGATTGGAAAAACGAAAAGAAAGCAATTGTATTAATAGAGAAATATTTATTGATACATACAAGTCTGAAAACTACGTTGTATTCATTATTAATTGCTAAAAATGATCAGTGTTTGCTATAGATATCAATTACTGTTTCTTGAAAAAAAAACTAATATCTCAATCAGTTATAAGTTTTGACAAAAGGAAATGGATTGTAGGAATATCTTTCGAAAAACGTGATCAAAATTAGTAGTTAGAACTAACCATTTTGATCGATTAATAATTAAGATGGCTTAATTCAAATCTACTTCGTTTACATTCTACTTATGACAGATGATAACTATAGATTTTTAGTTATTTTTATCCTTAAAATATATAAGATATATCAACATGCAAATTCTCTCAGCAGTCAATCAAATAAACTAGTAAAATTTAATTTGTCCGATATTTAGTCTAGATGAGAATAATGAGTAAGTATTCTTTTTAATTTTTATTTATGCATTTAAAGTTTACTCTATTCAAATTCAAGTTTTACGATGGACTTTGTTTCATAGAAAATGAAATTAAAATGTGATATTCAATATATTTGTCTCTAAAATGAAGATACCTTATGGTTCGTTCATCTATTAGTGAATAAAACATTCTTTTTTATTTAATACAAAACACACATATAACGAGAATTAATGCATATCGAATTCTTTCTATGTCAAAGCTTGTTAGCACTAGCGATATATACTATTGTCTATGTTGTCAAACGTTAAATGGTTTTATACGAAAAAAACCGTCGTTGTCACATAATATGAAGAATACGAACTACTTCATTGATCTAATGAAATAATTGAAAAATAAAATAAAAAAATGATGTTTTACAAGTACTTTGTTAGCCACATAGAATGTAAAGGAAACTGTAACAGAAAAGAAAACGTGACTAGTCCAAATAGCAAGAAGAAGAAAAAATAACCTTTTGTTTTCTTTTCTGTATTCATATGCTTAACGAGAAGAAAAGACAAAGAGAAAGAAAATTTTAAAACATGTGCCGATATTCATATGTTTTTATCCATGAAAAGAAAAAGAAATAAAATATCATGGAAACTTATAATAAAATGAATAACTGTAATGATGATGTATATAAAAAGAAATTAGAATATTATCATCGTGGATATATCATACTTGAAGTTACTTAGTGAAGAAATAGTATTAAAATATTTATTGAGAAAGTCAATATCGTAAAAGAAACAATGGTAATATGTTTAAAAATTATATGAAAAACCATCAAGAACTTTACTTTTTGATTTTTAAATACGTTCTACTAAACAAAATAAACAACTGTACAAGTTACAATGATTTGAAACGAATGCAGTAATACATCATTTTCATATCCATGTTCAACTATTTCTCCATAGTTCGAATAATCTTTCTGAATAATTGATTTGTGGTTACAGAATTGTCTAAATAATGAATAGAATAGGTTTGCATTTTTGTCTACTTGTATATTTACGAATAGTTTTCGTAGAGAATATATATAATAGATCTCTTGGTTTTAAAGATAGTTACATTCAAAAGACTATAGATTAACTAATTTTTATGTATGTGGAAGTTAAATAAATATATTGAACGGGCTTTATTTTTGATAGATGTTATATATTAATCTTTAAGTGTGTTATCTCAATTTCCCTTTCTAATAATTCTTTATCGGTAGTTAGTACATTGCGAAGATGATATATTAGATTCAATCTGACATATCATCTATCAAGTTTGTTTTATGTTTTCAAGAACGATAAAATCTCGTTTGTTTTATCTCTGATTATATTTTTGAGTAATAGAAGTTTGATTTTTATTAAAAAAACACTTTTGTATAAATCAAGTTTTATATACCATATTTCAATTTTTCTGGCAATACTTTTATAATCTTTTCATGATCATCAATAGTATACCGATAGACATTACGTTGGTCGACACAGTAACCACTTAGAAAAAGACCAAGTAAAGTTGATAATGCACCAATAATGGCACCAAAACTTCCAACAGCCATTAATATTGAATTAATAATAAGTTCCGTTAATTGCCATTTTGGTCTGGATGTATCCGAATATTTGGTATCGTATTGAACCGGAATAATACATGTCATTACTACATAGAATGAAAGAACAGTTGATATACTACTTAATGCAGTAAACGCAACTATCGATGGTGGAGTTCGTTCTAAACTTGCTATTATACCAACAATACCAGTCGCTACCAATACTAGACCAACCCAAAAACCTTTACCTAAAATATAATAAATATTGTTTTAGGAAAAAAAAGAATTTTGAATTTCTACCTGATGATGGCCATAACGGATTTTCAACTTGTAAACCACCTACAGTTTCATTATAATGAGCGACACTTGGTCGACCTTGAAATAATTCAATAACTGATAAAATAATTCCAGCCAAACCAGTTAATAAAAGAAGTGTACCAAGTATTGCAATAACACCAAATCGAAAAGAGGTTGATTTACGCAGTGCTTCAAATAATATCCCCATATTATGTAAATAAAAACCTATTAATGTATGTCTTTACTTCCGAAGAGCGATTTTAACACTCCGAAGAAGCGTGACAAGAACGGCGAGTCAGTGAACCATGACGGAAAAAAAATATAAATATCATTTCAGGAAGTAATATTAAATTAAAATAATATCATACATCACATATATATTTTATGCTAATATATATGAATATTTTTGGAATATTTAGATAAAAACTAGGTTCATTCATATATATATTTCATTTTTATTTATCTATCAATATATTTTCTCAATCTTTTTACATTTTTTTTTCGTCCGTATATTTTTCATCTTTAATTTATTTGTTTATATATTATGATGAAACATACCATTAAAAAATTTTCATTTACGTATATTTATCATGATTCATATCTTTGCCCTTGATAAGGTTTAATAACTATATTAAAAAAAAAGAAAGAAAGAAAATCTCGTTCACAATGTTAGGCACATTATTATAATGACTGTTCATAAATAAAAATATAATAATGTATGCTTATTATTAAACAACAACACGTAATGTTGGTTGTGGTCCATAAGGAGCTCGATCAAATTCATCATCAACATTATCATCAACAAGCGAGTAATGTCCTGCAGATGTTGAATATGGTAAAGTATTTATTTCTGTATCAGCTTCTATAGCAACTGGTGTTGTTGGACTTCGTCGTTGACCCGTTAATAAACAAAAAAAACAAGCACAACGTTCAAGTAATAATTCAATCCAATAGGGATCTGTCCAAAGTATTATAATTAATTGCATTAAATAAAATGTTGAACGTAATACAGATGCTAATATAAATGATCGATATGATTCAGAAATATGTTCAAGATAAAATAAATATACATCATAAAAAACAAGTATACAAAGTAATGCAGTAACACGGATTGTCCATAGTTTTTCAATTGGTGGTACTTGACTTGTTCCACGCATAAGATAAAAATATCTCAGAACAAAACTAATTAAAATTGTAGCAGGAAAAAATAAACAAAAATATATTATTGAACGTGCTGTAGCAATTGATTGTAATTTTGAAAAATTATATGGACAATATTTTGCAGTATAAACCGATATGATTGAACTTGAATAATTTTGATTGAATGGTGATGCAAGAGCATAGATAAGTAATGTTAAAAGCCAAGTAAAAATTGCATATACATGCATAAAATACATACGAGAAAACATTGGAATTTTTTGTTTATAGGATGGATGAGCATAAAGAAAACGTTCTACAATCATGTACAATACAAAAATTAATGGAACCTTAATATAAAAAAACAAAATCCTTTTATTATTTTGTATTAACGATTTGTTTTTAAAAGACTTACAGTTTCATTTGTTGATAAAATAACATAATGTAAACGACAAAGTCGTAAACTAAAGACTTGAAACCAATAATAAAGAATAAGTATTAATGATGGAATCCATGCAAAAAATGCACAAAGAATAATTTGAAATGAAAAATAATCAATTGGGTTTAAATAAGCTTTTGATCGAATAAATCGTACACATATTGGAATTGCCAACAGATAAGTAATAATACAAAATACCCAAATAATAATATGAGCACTACGAACATTATATTTTTCTGGTTCGATTAAATCAGCTATTTGATGTTTATATAATTCTGTTTCATTATTAATTAATTGAGAAATTTTTTTAAATAACTTTTCACGTTCTGATATTAAATTTGATGTTGTTGTTTCAACTAGTTTTGTAACTAGCGTTGTATTACTCGTCATTTTATTCTGCTGCTGCTGCTGTTATTATTATGATTAAAATAAGTTACGCGTATGAGATTATTACCTTCTTGCTCTGCTATCGCATTCACTGTGAACAATATACGTGTGTGTTCTGTTGTGCAACGGAATGTGTTGATCTTCAAATGGTTCGACGGCGAACACGTTGCATGCTTGATTAATTTTAGTTCGACGACTGCTTTTGTTCTTCACCCTTTGCGAGAAACAGTAACAGAAAAGAAAAAAATCCTCATATGACGATGTCGTCAATGAAAAAAAAATAAAAAAAAAAGAAGAAGAGAAACAGAACAAACAAACAAACTCGGTAGCTAATAGAAAAGCGTTAGTAATCAATACAAAGTTGTCTGCGATTATGTTGGAAAAAAATGCGTCAAGATGAAACAGAAACAGCTTCTTATATTATATATATATATATATACGTAATACATTCTTTTTTCTTCTCTTCTCTCTACGAACAAGAGAGATTAGGTCATTGTCATATACTCCGACGAGTATATACACTTGATACTAAATAGCTTAATATACAATATCAAAAGAATAACTTTGCTATAAATAATAAAATATTTATATATGTGAAATAGAAAAAATTCTTTTTTTTTATATAATCAAATTAAATGTTTATATAAAATTTTATTTTTTTAATTTAAGTCTTTTTATTTTTCTGTTTTTTTTTCTTTAATGATGAAAGTTCATTTGATGATTGAAATATTGTTATATTAGGTTTCTCAATATGAAGATTTTCATTTGACATTTCACCACGATTAGGATCAAAAACATTTAATTGTAATAGTAATTCAATCATATCAGTATTTCCATGTATATTTGCTCGAGCATAGTCAAGTACAGAATATCCATTATTATCTTGAATATTTATATCAATTACAGGATAGACATTTGATGATAATAATATATTAAATATAGTTGCATTGTTATGAAAATAAGCTGCATAATGTAAAGCTGTTCGACCTATTTGTGTATCAACTACATTAAGATTAATACCAAGACGAATAAAAAGCTCGACAATATCTTGATGTTGTAAATAAACAGCAAGAATAAGTGGTGGAAGATAACCTTGAAATAATATATTTATATCAGCATTATGTTGAATCAAAAGTGTAAAAATACCTTAAAAAAGATAAGATTAAAACAAAAAAATAATTATTATATAGAACATACGAGAATGATTATGAATAATTGTTTCATGTAATGGAGTTGTTCCATTGTAACTCATTCGATCTATATCAGGATTACAAAGAAATAAAGATGTTAATGTTTCTTCATTATTAACAATTGCTGCATAATGTAATGGTGTTCGACCTGATGTATCAGTAACATCAACTGTATGCATATATTCATAAAGTGCAACAATAATTGTTGAATTACCTAGAAATTTTAATTAAGAAAAAAATATTATTTTAGAAATTAATTAACCTTCAATTGCAGCAAAGTGAAGTGCTGAACGTTGTTGTTCATCATTATCTTCATCGAGTTGTAATAACTGAACATTATTTTCTTCATTATTTTGACTTTTTTTCTTATTTCGAAATGATGTTGTTCGTTTACTAAGTTGACGTGATAGTTTATTAACATCTTTTGATCGAATATAATCGATTGTTGAAGGTTTGCATTTTGATGAGGAATACTTTGCTCCCATTATATATCTTTTCAAATGTGCTGATGTATGAGAGACGTGTGCTTGATTTTATATATGCATCATGGTATATGCAACAGCTTGTATTATATATAGAAATTCACATTATCATTTTATATTGAAGAACAAAAACGATACTAGAGATGAATGACAACGAGAAAATCTGTGACAATATCAAATAAAATAATGATCATATATTACATAAAGTTTTGCTGATAAAACTTCTAAATAAGAAAAGTCTTTGTAGACTTGTACATATAATGTCAATTGGCTAATTGCTAATCATAGTTTGTCCCTAAAGATTTACAATTGTATGAATATAAAAGAACAAAACGTCACGTTTATAATGTATGTCTCTCATAGGAATAACTAGAAATAATGACATATATTTCTTTTTCTTTTCTTCTTTTATTAATTGATTAAATATAAAGATTAAATAACAAAAACAAACGATAACAAGTTAAATTCCTAATAAGCAAAAAAAACCGAAACGATTAAACTAAATATTTTTATTTTTTTGATTTAGTTGGTAAATATTTTTTTTCAGCATTAACTAATTCTTGATCATTTTGTAAACGAAATACTTCTTTAACACTAACAATATTAGGTTCAATATTAACTAATGTTTGTTCATTATAGATTCGTTTCGATGTTGCTTGCATTGCTTTAATACTTGAACGTAAATTATGATTTGCCCATATAACAGTTGATATACCCCATTTTTGAAATGTATCAGTTGGTGTTTGATAATAATTTGTTGGAACAATTACAACTGGACCTTGATTATTCCATGCTTTCATAAATTGTTCGATTTCTTTTGGATCTTTTTGTTTACTATGCATTAATATAGCATCAGCACCAGCTGATAGATAAGCTTCAGCACGACGTATAGCTTCATCTAAACCCCATCCACTTATAAATGCTTCAACACGAGCAATAACACAAAAATTTGGATCTTGTTGTGTATCTTTCATAGCACGAATTTTTAATGCAAATTCATCAATATCAGCTAATGGTTGTTCACGATTATCTAATAATGAATTTGTTTTCGGAAATAATTTATCTTCAATACATGCACCAGCGATACCCAATTGTTCAAGTTTACGTACAAGACGACGGGCATTATTAAAATTACCAAAACCTGTATCAGCATCGACAAGTATTGGTATAGTTGTTGCATCAGACATAAATTCTAAAATATCAAGAACTTGTGTCCATGATGCTTCATTCGAATCACGTAAACCAAGTGAAGCAGACATTGATAAACCACTTGCCCAAATAGCCTGTAATAATATAGCATTTATTAATCATATTCAAAGACATTTTTATACATAATTAATTAGATGAAGCTCAACAAATTTTAGAAGAAACTAAATGAGTTCGTATCAAAATATAGTCTTTCATGAAATAACATATTTGATACTACAAAGTAATACATTCGTTCAATTTTAACAAGTATTTTTATTTCATTGAAGCGATAGGACATATCAGTAAATTGTCTATATATTGACAAATGAATATTAATTTAACTATAAAAATTCTATTGAACTATATATAAGAAAATGCTAATGATATACTCTTATAACGCTATACATTATTACTCAGATGAACCATGAAATTTGTATAGAATAGAACAAATATTGTTTAATCAAAGCAAATCTTCATATTAAACTATCGGTTCATTCAAACAATAACTATGATTATATCAATTTATTGTTATTTTTACATACAAGTATTTCTCAGTAAAACAAAATGTCAGATTCCTGCTGATTAATCAGTTTTTCTCTCTCTACATATATATGTTAACAAAAGTATGTAGAAAGAACTTAAGTAAATATTAGTTTTATATAAAGAATAGGAAAAAAATAGAATAAAGAAATGTTTAACTTTGAATATATTCTAAGTAAAATATATAACTGAAGAATAATATAAAATATTGTTTTTTTGATTTTTAATTCAGATTGATTAAATCATGAATATTTGAACTTACCTTAAAACCTGTTTCTTCAACAATTTTTGCACTTAAAGCACTATGTGCTTCCATGATAAATTCAAGTTTTGGTGATAGAAGCATCTGTTTCAATTGAGCACTTCGATCAGTCGAAGTCGCTTTTTTAACAGCTGCTGGTACAGTTGAAAAATTTCGTCCATAATTAGTCACTATCCGTAAGAAAACTTTGTTCAACATTATTCCGGACAATAACTCAGCAAATGGTAATGCTATAGCAGTCTATTTTCTCTCTCTCTCTCTCGCTCGTTTCTTTTTCTCCGTTTCTTTATTCTTCGAAAGCAGATAAAACGCTTATACATTGTTGTTCTGTTACTCTGTATATATATATTAAAGCAAATAGCAATAAAAAAATCGCGTATATCTTTTCTTTTTTGCTTTCTTTTCTTGTTATCAGACAGTCGTCCGTGAGGTCAGCGGTCATTAAGATAACACAGTTGTTGTTTCGTCTAAACATAAACTTAGTTCTTTGAAGGAAGGACGATCTAAACTTGACCAGGAAAGACAACGTTCTATAAGTGCATAAAGACGATCATTGCATAATGTTGGACGTGGAAAATGTGTTGAAAAACAAAGTACAGATGGTTCAATACCATTTTGTTTAGAATGTGACCATAAATCACGATAGAATTGTAGAACTTCATCATCTTGTAAATCATTATAGGGAATATATAAACCCAAATGAAATAATTCAAATAGAAGTGTACCAAACATAAATGTTGTTGTATAAATTGACCAATTTTCATCCTTTTAAATAAATTTTAGAAAAAATATTTAGTTAACTAGAGATTATTTACTCCTGTTATAACATCACCAGGTAACCATCGAATAGGTACTTGTTGAACATATCGTGATACATAACGATCATCATTTTTAGCAAAATCAGATAATTTGATTGTTTTATCATTAAATAAAAGACAATTTGGTAATGTTATATCACGTATAATTATATTTAATGATTCAAGATGAACTAAAGCTGATATAATTTCATTTAAAAATCCCATTAAAGTTCTATTAAAATTCGAAAGAAAATAAATTTTTTAATATAGTATTTTTTTTCTTCTTCTTACGTTACAGTACTGCTATTTTCAGTTAATAATGTTTGACAATGTTCAAATAGATTTACTTGACTAAATTCACTAACTAAAAAGCATCGTTCAGGTGATACATTAACATAACCAAAACAAGTCACTATATTCGAATGATTTATTATTTTTGATAAACTAAGAAATCTAAAACGAAAAAAATAATTATTATTTTCTTTTTTATTTGAAATGGTCATACTCATTGTGTTCTTCCTCAAATAAAATAACTGGTAATTTGTTTGGACCATATTCACTATAGAAACACTAAATAAAAAAATATTCAAAAAACAGTATTTTTTTGTTTTCCTAAAATACTTCACGATTATTTTGAGCACCAAGATTTTGTATGATTATTATTTCACTTGAATCTAATTCAGATAAATATTCGTTAAATGTATGAATATTTGCAATTGAACAATGCGATGCTATTGACTTTAAAAACAAAAATGAAATAAGATAAAAAACAAAATTTATTTTACTTGTCGATAGGAAGGAAGTGTACGAATTGTTGCTTGAGCACTTTCATTAACAATTTTTTCTGCATTGATATATTCTAAACAATTTGTTGCTAATACATCATTATCTAAAGATCAATATATGTTTTTATTTATGGATTATAGAGACTCACTATCAAGTTCTGAATAAACATCAGCTTGTGATTGACTAAAATAGATGATATTATGATCAATAGTAATATAAGAAAAAAGACAGAGAATATTATCTATACCCTTGTGTATTTTCATCATCTGTTGTAGTTGTTATAGATGTTAAACTTCGTAAAATTTCTGCAGCTGTCATTCTAGTGAAAAAAATAAAAAAAATTTCTTATTTTTCAAAGATATAAATTTACTTTAAATCATCTTTTTGTTTCCTTGAAAATATACATGAAACAAATAGGAATATTCCAAGTAAAGCACAAATAATGATAATCAAAAGCAATATATTTAACAATTTACCATGGACTAATTAAAAAATAAATCGAACAAAAAATAGATACATAATTTCGATTTTTTTTTGTCTAACCTTTTATATCATCCGGTATTGAATTCAATGCTAATGATTCTAATCGACGTAAATTAGCTTCAATATAAATCGATGATGGTACAATATCTTGATCTTCATTATTATCATTTTCATTTCGATTATTAAATGTTATCTCACTAAGTGCTAAGCCGGCTTTGGTATTGATTTGTATGATTACAAATTGACCTTTTGTTTTTGAAACAGTTAAGATTAAATGTGTTATTGTTGTATTATCATCATTAGGTTTATTTTCA